TGATCTATATCCCGTGACCATCGAGGTTTACCAAACTCACGACGAGCATGATCTAGTAGACTCGCGATGAGCTAGAGGTCTAGCGGACTCGCGACCTCCTAGGTTTACCAAACTCGCGACGAGCATGATCTAGTAGACTCGCGACGAGGCGATTCGACGAGCATGATCTAGTAGACTCGCAACGAGCGTGGTCAGACATGGTTGACGTGTCCTTGAACATGGGATAATTGGCAGTTTCCTAGTTAACCGCATGCTCTCTCTTTTGGAACTGTCATCATGTTACTTGCCTCCCCTTTATCATGCCCATTGCAGATCTCAAGACGAGGGCCTTCTAAATCTCACAACCGACATGGTGTCTAGATCTCGCGACCACCGATACCTACCAAACTTGATGTGACGATACCCACTCGCAACCATCGTGGTCTACTAGACTTGAGGCCCATGCGGTCTAGCTCTCTGACTTAGTATATTTGTGGCTTTTCTCTCCCACGTAACTTGCCTTCTTACTTCCAATTTGTTAGTTTAGATCTTAGACATGGTCAAGATCTCATGGATAAGGCCTTCTAGATCTCATTACCAACGTGGTCTAGCGTACTCGAGACGTGATCTATATCTCGCAACCATCGAGGTTTACCAAACTCACAACGAGCATGATCTAGTAGACTCGCGATGAGCTAGAGGTCTAGCGGACTCCGACCTCCTAGGTTTACCAAACTCGCGACGAGCATGATCTAGTAGACTCGCGACGAGCATGATCTAGTAGACTCGCAACAAGCGTGGTCTAACGGACTCGCGATGTGGTCTAGATCTCGCGACCACCGAGATTTACCAAACTCGTGACGAGCGTGGTGTGGCTGAATCGTGACCACCGAGCTCTATCAAACTTAGTCTCTATCCACGCGACAAGATTAGTTCATTCTCGAACACTTAGTGGTTTGAGCTTCAAAATCTAGTACCATAAGGCGCAGCTTAAATAACATTGATTATTATTGTTCATCTGGTCTTATAAAGACAAGTTATTGCCTTGTAAATTATCAATGTGGTACAAAGTTAATTTTAGGGTAAACGGCCATAGAAATCTCAAATCACCTTTTAATTAGAAAGTCTGGTTCACTCGTGTTTCGATAAGTAATTTCGGAAGACATCTTATGTTACTTTCTGCTCTGGCATATTATTTGTGGAACTTTGTGAGAGTACGTCATTAGTTAATATAATATTGTAAACTTGTAAAGCAATTGTTGTAGTTTCTATGAGATACAATAAGACAGCGAGATACTTTTCATGTGTCAAGTTTCCAGGCAGAATATTAGAGAACAAATTTTATGGTTTCCATGCGCAGCCAGACAATGGGGTGCGTCGGAGCCCTCCATGACCTCCAATTATCTTTAGCAAAACTTGACAGTAGGTCTTTATTAGTCGATTCAATTCCATGATATATTGATTGATTATCATAATAATGATGCTACGATTAAATATGTTAATATTAGTAAATATTTTCATGTATATATAAATTATGTATGTATATGAATTATCGAAGTCTTATTTGTATTCTGAAATTTTAATGGATTAATGATAATGATAATTGAAAATGATTTCTCGCATGATAAAAATTTGAAGAGTTAAAAAATAATTTATTCAAATTATTGTTTAAATAAAAATGATATGCTAATTTTTATTTTATTATACTAAAAAACGGACAACAAGTGAATTCTAGAACATGGCCTCCATAACCATTGTATGCATCTATGATAAAAAACAACTTCAGTGCTTCATGATAGATTGGTAGAGTTAGGCTCGGTGAGAGTGAATTTCTCGGGCCGGCTCAGCAACAAAGATGCTCACCTAATGATCCATACCCGTTGTGATTGGGATGAGTCTGAATTTTGGGCCTCCAGGTCTCCTATTTTTTTGGTCACGCAACTGATTGTTGATTCCGGTACTATTTCAACCTCTTAATGAAACAATACATGCCATTTATATATATATATATAAAAAGGGGATATTACTTTCATATTGTATCTCTAATATGTATATATACCTAAGGTTGGGCTAGGAACACCACAGTATAATTTGTATGCAAATATATCTAATGGGCTAGGAACACACATTGTATATGCCTCTTTTTTGTGTGGGAAACATAAGATATGCCTGTAAGGGTCCAAAAGAGATCATCTTGTCAATCTCTTCTCCTAAATGGATCTGTCCTTTCTATAAAGCGAGTTACAATACTGTTATTGACCTGTTTGCTCCTAAATATTACAAATTAATTTACCCTAAACATGTAGCATTAAACCGAGTTGCGTGTTTGCAAAACGTAATTAATATTTGGGTAATGATTATTTATTAGGCAAATCTATCGAAATATTAGAGATTAGTCAAACACTTTGTAACACGTTGAAGTAATAGCTATTAGTCTGTTACCGTCAACTATTTTTTAACGATGCTCCACCCCATCGTCCAACTCAGCTGTCGCCTCATCAATAAATAAAATAAAAATGGGTACCTAATTATTAGCCAAATCTTTCTCGCATTCTTTTTTATTAGCCAAAACTATTGAATTATTAATAATTGGCCAAATCTTTTGCAATGAATTAAAATATTAGTCACTTTTACGTTATTAATAATTTTGTAACGCTTTTCTTAGTTAAATACTAAAATTGTGGAATATTAACCTCCATCTACATGTGTCTCTTTCCAATCAGTATCATGTTGCCAAGTAATTATTACTAACAAAATTGCTAACTGAAAGTTAACATTTAAAACTAGTAATTCAATAGGTTTGGCTAATAAAAATGAATGCGGAAAAGATTATCAATCATTGACCGACTGATGTGGCATTTTTTTAATTGCCACGTCAAAATATTCCTTCCAACTCAGCGCCACGTATGACAGCTCACCATCATCAAAAGAAAAAGCTAACGGAGAGTTAACATCTCGCCCCCTATCCCAGGAATAAAGCAGCAAATCCGCAGGATGAAGGGGTCCGACATGCCCATCAACCAAACCGATATCAACCTCATTTACGACAAAATTCCCAGACCTGTAACAGATGTACAGTAAGGTGTCTCGAACGAGGTTATGCCGATGCTTAATGCCCACAATACCAACACAGAACACAACATGATCCCCAAAGACATCACCATCAAAGACACGAGAACTAGCAGAACATGGCCTAGATACCAAAAATAACGGGACACCCAGTCGATAACTAAACACACTACGATATGTCCTTCAATTCATAGTCTGGCCCAACCCAGCAATAGGAACAACACGCAACCAATCAGAAGAGTGCGCACTCTGCTGGGACTTCCACAGAGCAACCTGACGTGTAGTCAACGAGAAAGCATAATCTGAAGTAGCAGTAACCTTAGCAAAATATAAGTCTGCCAATTTCTTCATAAGTTTTTGGGCAACAACTTTCCTAGGATCACGTAAGAGATCATAACTGGTAAACTCATTGAATGTGCGTAGGCATCATCAAAAGCAGGGCCAAGAGAGAGAATGCTAGAAGGACGTAGTAGCTTAGCCTGTAACCCAGCAGACTGCATACGAGATGTCAAAAAAACATAATGCAGGACATCTCCAGCATCATAAACCCTAAGCCCACCTAAATGAAAAGGGAAGGTGGCAAGTAGAGTTGTTGAGGTTTTAATTCACTAGTACATGAAGTAAGAAGAAGAAAAGTGTTGGGACTGAAATCCAGGTGAGAAATGGGACAAAATTTAGGGATTATTATAATTATTTTTTTTTTTTTTTTTCAATTTTTTCAATTTTTATAATTTTATAATAATTTTTAGGAATTATGTAAAAATTTTAAGTTTATTTATGCTGACTGTGCAGTGATGTGACGGGTTGACCGTTAGCCAATGGCTTTGACTGTCAAAACTAACAATCAACTCTCGAATTTGGCTAAATTAGTAAAGTGTATGATTAGTTCGGGTCACGATATTAAATACCAAAAGAATTGGCCAGGATGTTAATTATGAGAAAAGTCCGGGCGAGACAAATATATTAAGTCTTAAGAAATGTCTTTAATTCACAATCTTTAACTCTGAATTTTCTGAATCCACTTAAATCAAAAGTTCCAGAATTAGTTAATAATGGGTGAGTAACCATTGGTTACTCACCCTATCTTGAGCCGTTAATGTCTATAACCCATCCCATATCAATATACGTCTGATAGTTGGCACTCATCGTGTAACTTGTCATTTGTAGTGACCGTGCTTGGCCTCGAGCAAAATCATGTTGTTAATTACCTAACTAATATATAGGGGCCACTCTTAGACCAAAGACTGAGAATTTAGTAGATCCTTTACTCAAAAATTGGATCAACCATGTTATAACGATTGAGGACCTCAGATCCTCACATACGGATTAGAATGTCATAATTACTTTCATTTGTCTTTGAAAAAAAGTGGTCCTATTATTAGGGCACCGAGACGAACCACCCTCTGATCTAAAGAAAAGAAAGAAAAGTAAGAGTCAGATCTCTTCAATTCGGTAGGCTGGTTACAACACCACTTGTAAGAACGTGTTTACAACACTTTTCAGTTTTCCAATTTGATATTGGATGCTCCACAATCGTTAGATCAACGTGTGCAGATTATGTTGTAAACACCATAATCAGTTTCATCTCTTTTAGGGCAGTAACATAAATAATCCATTCAAAAAGGACATATATAAGATATAATGTAATTAATTAATAAAGTTACCAAATTAGTTAAAAACTAAAAAGAAATTATAATATCATATAACGCTTAGAGAGTCAAGTCAAGATATACGTTCAAATGGCTAAAAATCCAATCATCAATTCCTTTCCTTGTAACCAAATTACATTTCACCATATAAGACCAACTCTTCAGTTTCTCCCCCAATGCACAAAATCATTACCTAAAGCGTAATTAACCGAACAAAAATATATGATGATGACGGTGTTCTCAAGCTCTTATTCCTTAATCTCGTTTCTTGTACTAATCTTCTTCTTCTTCTTCTGCGGCGGCATGCCAACCTCCATCTCAAGTTTCCACCTAGAGCTCTCGTCGTCCTACATCTCCGGGATATGTGACCGAACCGTCGACCGTAGTTTCTGCCTCCGTTTCATGAATTCGACCGCCGGCATCCGGGCGGCGAATTTCGTCGGCGCAGGGAAAATCACCCTCACGGTTAGCGATCAGAAAGCCAGAGAGACTCAGAAGTACATCCGAGCACAGTTACTGGGGCGGAAAGCGACGGATCCCAAGGTGAAGCAGAGCTACAAGACGTGCTTGGAGAAGTACGGGGACGTCGTCAAATCGATCTCCGTCGCTAAAGATTCTTTCGCGACGGGAGATTATGATACGGGATTTACTGCGACGACAGTTGCGCAGAGGGATGCGGATGCTTGCAATCGCGAGGTGACGGCGGGGCCGGCGAGAGGGGGAGTAGGTGAACGGAATAAGTACTTGTCGAATCTCCTGGATATTGTTTTGGTGATTCTCAATTTGGTGGGAGGTTGAGAAAAAAATCTCTTCATCGTCCAAGTACTGATGGGTTGTGGTAGTGTTGTTGTGTACTTATGTTATAGGGTGGACAAATAACATGTCTTTTTGAGTTTCGGGGAATTGGTAATGGGTCTAACGATATGTTGTGGGAAGGAGGACAAAGAAAAGAAAAAATCATTGGATTTGTTATGATAAAAAATAAATTCCCACTACTACTATATGAAGTTTCTCAATTCAAAACATAGTCCATTTTCAATTTTTCACAATTTATGAATGATTGTAGAAATGCATATTTTATCATCTCGATCAATTTCTTATAAATTTTTTTTGAATACCATCTAATCATAAAAAACTGTTGTTGTGGCTTGAATACAGATTATCTATCGTCGATCGGAACTTACGAGGGTCTCGCTGTATTTGCTTATACGGAGTTGTTTAACTGTATTAGGCATTGTCTGTAACCTTTTCCTTTGCAGGTTGGATTCGGATTAGATCGTCTGGAGAAAGTGATATATATATAGCTTCTCGATATATATATATGTAATGTGTATCTCCCAAAAATATAGCTATAACACATCGTAGCAGTGAACCAAGTAAATTCTTGTGTTCTTTTTCTTGCATATTTTATTTATAATCATAGCCACGATTGACAATCAGTTAGAGCTTTCAAAATTCAAGAATGACTTAAGTGAATATATGATGACAGTTAGAAATTATCAAGGTCATTCTCTACCCGTGCATGTGCCTCTTGCCATAGAGATTTAACTAGCTAATGTGCGCTTTTGCTTCATGTGATTACCTAATTAATGAAGAGCAAGGAAGTTAGGATGGAAAATCATGAAGTGTGGGCCTCTTGAGCCATAATCAATGGTCTATATTATGTAAGAGTAATTTCTTAACAACCTAGATGATATTATGCAAATCTTTCAAAAGTGTTTGTCATAGGTTGAGGAGATGACGTACTTGCACTCTCTGTTTTTCTTTTTCTTCCTTTTTAGTTATGTGCCAATAAGCAAGAGGAACTACCCTATTGTGCATGGATCATTCCAACAACGAGTATATTCATTCTACTCTTCCTTGTTGTTTTGCTTGGACCAATGGCGACATAGAACTATTTAAATTTTTGTGGTAGGTTTTGTACACTGCTCCTCCATGCATCCTCCTCGACTTAATATCATGCGTATGGGGAATGATATTATGTAGTGCATTGTGCTTAAAAAAATTACAATCTTTTTGAAATCATGTCGCACTCCCAAAAGCAATTACAAATCACATCTTACTTTGAATTGTTATTCTCTGCATTAATATACGGAGACCAGTGTAATAGCCATGAAGGAGGTCCTCATCATGTGACTAAAGATCATTTAAAATGTTCGTATACATTGCTTATTGTTGGGGGTATTACCCAGCAATTAGGAGCTTGGGCTCCCAAAGAAAGAGTTGGGGGGCAAGGCCCAAAAAGAAGGAATCCACTAGAGGCCCTTGGGCCCAGACAAGAGAAAGGACCCAAAGAATAAAACACCAAAAGCCCAGTGGCGGCCAGCTGTCCGGTGGACCACTGCCTGCGGGCGCCTGTCATGTGTCAGGAGCCTGGCAGAGCAGAGGGATGCCTGTCATGTGTCAGGAGCCTGACAAGGCAGTTAGTTGTCTCACAGAGGGGGCACAGAGCATTAAATGAGGATGGTGACGTGGAGGAGATCAACCTCGGGTTCGGTGAGTATAAATAGGGGCAGTCGATAGCATTTATGCAGGTTGGACTCTCTCTCACTAAAATACTACTTAAGAACACTGCCCTCTCCAAGATACTAACTTGGGCGTCGGAGGATTAACGGGCCGGGGCGCCCTCCTCTGTGTGTGTGTGTAGGTCGACGCCAGGCGAAGGGAGACGTCCGAATAGCGAGGGGGGTATAGTGGCTCAAACAATTGGCGCGCCAGGTAGGGGAATATAACCTGAAGTCATGAGTGAGGAAATGGAGGTGAGTGATGGAAGGGAAAGGGAGGAAGTCACGGAGGACCAGTCGGAACGATTAAGGGGGCTGGCGCCCGAGATGGAGGAGAGGGAAGAGAGTGATGACATGTTTCGAGGGTCGGAAGGCGCCTCAATGACGAGGAGGGAGCTGTTCAGAATTATTGAGGACCAAGATGGAGCAATCGAGGCGCTCCGAAAGGAAGTTGACGCCCTAAAGAGAGGCGGAGGGATGATGCCTAGTCCGACGAAGAAAAGGGAAAGGGTGGCGGAGACGGAGAGTGAATCGGGATATCAGAGGCGCCCCAGTTTGTGGCGCCCACGCGAGTACGAGGGGCTAGAGACGGGAGGATGGAATGGAGGAATTTTGGGGCGCCTGTCTCGTCACGGACCTGTGAGACAGCCGTTGGCGCGTAACATACTAGCGGAGCCTGCAGGGACCAACATCCCCCCGCTCCCCACCTATGATGGGGTCACTGATCCGGAGGACCACCTCAACGGCTATTTCACCAAGATGCAGCTTTACAACAGCACAGACGCCACCCTGTGCAAAGTGTTTCCGTCGAATTTCTCGGGCGTGGTGCTCGATTGGTATTATCAAATCGAGGAAGGGCGCATTGAGTGCTTTGAGCAATTCGCGGAGATGTTTCTTGCAAAGTTTGCCAGCAGGAAACGGCGCACCCTAACTATAGGCGCCCTGTTCAAGATCAAGCAAAGAGAGGGAGAGGCGCTGAGGGAGTTTTATGAGAGGTGGTTATCCGTGGCTCTGGCAGTGAAGGATGTGCAGCCTTCGGTGTTAGGGGTGTGCCTGAACGAATGCACCACCAGCGAGGAATTGTGCAGATCGCTCTCAAAGAGAGACGTGGTGTGCACTGAAGACCTGGATCACCGGGTGCAAAAGGTAATTATGCTCAAAGAAACGTTGGCGGCCAGAAGGGCCGACCGACGAAGGGCGAAAGGAGAGGAGGCGGAGCCGATGAGAAGGCCGCACTTTGCAAGCGGTCCGGGGCATGCGCCAGCAAACCCCCCTCCTCCTAGGAGAATGCACGCCGGGCGTCCGGCACCCAGGGGACCCTTTGCCGAATATACAGACACGCTGAAGAACATACTCCAGCATGTCAAGGAGAAAGGGTACCATATCAGGTGGCCGGGCCCCATGAGAGGGCAACCCAATGAGCGGAACCTGGATCGATATTGTGACTTCCACCGAGAAGTGGGACACCACACAGCCGACTGCTACCAATTGAAGACCGAGTTGCAAGGCTTGGCTGACAGGGGGATGCTCAACGACTTCGTCAAGAAACCTGAAGAAAGAGTGCACCGGGCCTGCGTGGCCGGCGTAGGAAAAACAATGGAAAAGCTACCACCCCCGCCATACGACCTCGACCAAGAAAACGCGCCCGAACGGGTGCGCCTGACAATAAAGGCTATTTCGGGGACAGTGGACTTGAGAGAGAAGATAGAGGCGAATCGTCGCTTGAGGGCGGCGTCGGCGGAAGTCCAAGAGGCGATAGACATCAGTTTCAATAGGGCGCCCGAAGAAGCATGCATGCTCCCATCCATGGACGCCCTGGAGATACAAGGTGTGGTGGCGGGGTGTCAGGTCAGGAGAATGCTCGTTGACACAGGGAGTTCGATGGACGTGCTATTCAAGGACACGGTGGTCCGCATGCAACTATCGCCAGAACTAATCAGGCCCTCAGAATCGGTGTTAGTTGGCTTTTCAGGGGCGCCAGCCAAGGTAATAGGGCGGGTGCACCTACCAGTTACCTTGGGGGATGGAGAGCAAAGGATGACACGCGCCATCGATTTTGGAATAGTGGACTGCCCGTCACCATACAACGCGATTCTGGGAAGGCCCCTCCTGGCCTTGTTTAATGGCGTGGCCTCCACTTGCCATCAGACGTTGAAGTTCATTGCGCCTCAAGGAGTAGGTGTGGCACGGGGAAGGGGCGCCCCGCGTTACGCAAAGGAGATAGGACGAAAACGGAAGGGTAACGAAACAGTCAATATGGTGGAAATCTCGGCGGACGAGGCGCCCCGAGCCGAAGCGGCCGACAAAGAATTTATGGTGGCGCTAGATGTGGAACGCCCGGAAAGACAAGTGAGGATATCGGCGGAGGCGCCCGACGAGGTGAAGGAGCGCATCATCGCTCTTCTGAGGGAGTTCGCAGAGCTTTTCGCCTGGAGCGCCTTGGAAATGCCGGGCGTCGCCCCCGAAACGGCCGTGCATCGACTGGCGGTAGAAGAGGGAAAGCGCCCTGTACAGCAGAAGCGGAGAAATCTGTCGGCAGAAAAGGAGGCGGCACTCAGGATTGAAGTAGATAAACTCATGGGCGCCAACTTGGTTGAAGAAACATCTTATGTTACCTGGCTGTCAAACGTGGTCTTTGTGCCGAAGCCGTCAGGGGATTGGAGAATGTGTGTGGATTATACAAACCTGAACAGAGCGTGCCCGACGGACGCCTATCCGATGCCCCGCATAGACCAACTAGTGGACGCCACGGCATATCATGAGATGTTGAGTTTTGTGGACATGTTCTCAGGGTACCACCAGATTCCTATGGCAGAGGAAGACCGACCCAAGACAGCTTTCATGACACCTTTCGGGAACTTTTGCTATCGGGTCATGGCATTTGGCCTCAAAAATGCGGGCGCCACTTATCAGAGGATGGTCAACAATGTCTTCCGTAAGCAAATCGGCCGAAACGTGGAAGCCTACGTGGATGACTTGATAGTCAAGAGCCGGAGACGCGAAGACCATCTGGAGGACTTGAGGGAAACGTTCCAAGCTATGCGGGCGCACAATCTCTGCCTCAATCCATTAAAGTGCGTGTTTGGTGCGGAGGCGGGCAAGTTCCTGGGATTCATGATTACCAAACGGGGCATCGAGGCCAATCCGAAGCAAGTGGACGCCGTTCTCCAATTGGCACCACCAAAGGCGCCCAAGGAGGTACAAGGTTTGGCGGGAAGATTAGCGGCCCTGGGGCGCTTCATCCCCCGGTTTGCAGACAAGGCGGCTCCGTTTTTCCGAACGCTCAAAAAGGGA